TATAAAGGAGCATGTAGAGATTTTCTGTGACAATGATAGTGCGGTTGCCTTAGCCAAGGAACCAAGGGATCATGGCAGGTCCAGACACATCGACAAGAAATATCACTTCATAAGACACAAGATAGAAGAAGGACTCCTCGTGGAAAAGAGGGTATCATCAGATGAGAACCTGAAAGATCCTTTCATGAAGGGACTGAGTAGGGTTAAGCATTTACAACATGCGAGGCACATTGGGCTGATGGATGATATTAGTTTTAATGATTAGATAGCTGATTCGAAACTTGTAATAAATAAACTGTAATTGACATTTTCTGCTTAAATAAAAGGTGTTTTTATTTACTAGTATGGTACTATCCCATATCAAATGTTTACTAGTGTTTCAATGTGCATGTTTTGACTTCCATAATAATTGGATTATTCAAACCATCCATAGTCAATCATACTTTGGAAGTAGGTATTGAAGCAAGACTGTCATGAATTTGGCTTCTAGATTGTCAGAAATGGTTAGACATTGCTATGACATTCATGAGTGCTCATAAGGTCTGAGTATTGGATTTAACCCATGCTCACTTGTATCACTTCATGGAATTTATCTCGAGTGATCGTGAGACGATAATATCATATAATCTTCAAACCTAGATATATGAGTTGTTGACTATGAGTTGGTCGTACATTGATAGTACAAAAACGCATCGGTAACTCGATGTTATAAAACGTGCTGTTATGTATGGTTTAGTGAATAGTTAATACAAGCATATACTGTCAAATTTTATCTGTTCTTTTTAGTCCTTGGAGGATTAAAAGCGATATCTTGAGCCCCTCGATCAATTTTTTTTGACTTATGTGCCAGGCCCAGTCAGAACTAAATTGATGTGTTCGATTAAGTTGTATGTCAAACAAATCGAAAATCGGGAAACAAACAGCTAGACAATAAGATTGACTATGTTCCTTGTGTTCGTCCGACTTATATCTTGAGAGCAAAGGATTATATGATCACTTATCTAAAATTGTACGTCTAAGTTTGACAAAGGCATTTAAGAGCCACGATTACTTGTCGGATCCTGAGGTCATACTTGCAACTATAGTTACTAGACTTATCCAAGTGGGAGAATGTTGGATAAGGTGTCTAAGTCCATAACTATATTTGGTATGTACTTGACCCGAGAGTAGCATGATCCATTTGGGTTGCATTTCACCGAAACAATTTGTAAGGATGGACTTTTGAGAAGAGATTATTTATGATTTATTAATATACTATAAGTTATAATATATTAATATGAAATCATATTATTTAATTAGTATTAATCAAGAATTAATTTGGAATTAGTTTCGTGATCAAAAGAGACTAATTAAATATATGGGGATTGATTATGTAAACCATTCATTCTTATAAAGTGGGCTTATGATCCATAATTATTTATGTTGGGCTTAACCCATGTGGTGACCCATGGATACTCCATGGTGGTTAAAACCCATGAAGCTTAAGGAATGTGGAAAGTCATGCACATTAGGGTTTAAACGGTGTAACCCTAATCATGACACACTATATAAGAAAGCCCTTAGCTCATGAAATCAGCACTAGTGAGTCTTTGGAAGAGCATATCCGATTTTGTGTGCAAGAAACATTCTCTCAAGTCCTCAAATTGTTGGTGGTGATTTGTGGTTCCATTTGAGGCGTTCACATTATTAGTGTTAGGATCTTAAAGCTCCAAGTTTTCAAGCTACAACAAAAGGTATGTCTTTCAACTAGATTTTTGTACTGTATATACTCCATAATATGCTAGTAGAATGATGCCTTGGAAAAATTGAAAGTTTGCATGTATAATAGAGAAAACATAGATCTAAGGTATCTAGGGTTGCATGTACACCATAAGAGTGTTAGAATGCTTAAAACCCATCACTCCCATGGTCTCCAGATAGCTCACACATAGATCAAATAACAACCATTATATATTCCATGACTAAACATTTCATATAAATTAATGGGCCAACCTTGGTGCCTTCGACTCATGAGTATAGTGAGGAGACTCACCTCAAATTCTGAACGATAGCTGACTAGGTCCTGGCTCCAGATATCTGCTCTACTAAACCCCTAAATAGAAACAATTCCTTAAATACAACTCAAAATGCCCTAAAATCCCTTAAAAGTTAAACTTGGTCAAAGACTGAAGTCAAAGGTCAAAGTCAAAGGTCCGAGTTGACCCAACTCGCCTAGTTGTCCTTCAACTTGTTGAGTTTCTCCATTAACTGCACAGATCGGGAAAAGTCTCATCAACTCGTCGAGTTTACTAATGAACTCGCCGAGTTAGCTAGAAATCCAACAACTTAATGCATTAAGCTTTTCCCTCGAATCTAGGAAATCTAATTCTCAGATCTCCTTCGAAATGATGTCTAAAAGAGTAAAGTTTCCAACTTTACCCTTAGGAATCATCCAAAGTGAGTCAAAGCCAAACCCTACTCATTAGAGTGAGGCTTGACCCATTACGCCCTTAAACTCTCAAAACAAAGTCCCAATATGCAGATCTGGTCTCCAAAGGATGGAAAATCACGTAAGGTTTCCAACTTTATTTCCATGCATGCTAAAAGAATCCCTAGGGCTCAATATGTGTTTAATAAAGGACTTACTGCATAAATAGGACCTAATACCTAGTAAAGTTTGCAACTTTAAGCCAAATGAGGCCATAAAATGGCTAGATCTAACATGACAACCCTTGGAACACTCAACTTCTTGGACAACTCAACTATGAGCCCAAAATCAAGATAAAAGCCCAAAACAATAGATCTAAACCATAACAAAGCAAGGTATAAACTTGATACGTCCAAATGACTGGAATGAGTGCGGAGATTCTGGATCAAGGTCTTTCCTCTAAGCTATGCACCTTAAACTTTAAAGATCCTCCAAAAGTGTGCAAAATATCAACACTTAAGGCCCTCCACAAGCTCATACACTCACAAGGATGATGATACACACTTTTAGGGTTTTTGGACAGATGAGGCTGGTAAGGAGGCCATCCAAGAGACTTAAGACCTTTAAATTAGGTGCACCACCCTAAAAATTAGGGTTTCCTTCCCAGCCGCCAACTCGCTGAGTTGAGGCACCTTAACTCACTGAGTTGGTTCATTAATTCCCAATGGCCAAAGTCCGCTCAACACGCCGAGTTGAAGCTTTCAACTCGTCGAGTCCAACAAGAAAAATAAACAATTTAGGAGAATAAATTCATACCGGAACCAAGTGTTACATGAGGTGTGCTAACAAGAAGGAAGATATGCCAACTTGAAGGAATGTGTACCATTTGTGAAGGAGTGCCATCTTGGAGGAAGATGTGCTATCCTTGGAGAAGGTGTGCCATTCCTTGTATAAGATGTGCCATCTTGGTGCAAGGTTTGTCACTTGTGTTCCTTGATGTGCCATTGTATCCTTACTGTGTCACTTATGTTGTGATGTTCACTATGATGCTCAAGATTATCTAAGGATGCTCATAAGTTGAAGATTCTCAAGGATTATTGCATGATGTGCCACCATGATGGCTGATGTGCCATGGTGATCTTAATGTGCCACTCTTTCATCATGATGTGCCACTATGGATCATGATGTACCATTATGATGTGCCACCGGGATGAATGTTTTAGAAGCTACAACATGATAGATTATGATTGGTTGACATCATTCATGGGCCTATGGGCCTATGGACCAATGGGATTGGCCCATTTGAGTTATAGGTCTGATCCCTTCATTATAAATAGGGATGCATGCTAAGTCAATTGGAGTTTTTTTTTGTATCCTTAATGAGTATATTAACTCTCTATTAGTTGTACTTCTAATCTCTGTTTGAGAACTCTATGAATAAATATTACTCCAGGGCATGAGACAAAGCTTTATGTTTGTAGCGGGGGATTAGTCGGTGCGCGAAAGTTGGCCCGGAAACCCTCGTTAGGGAAGTTCCCTTTCCAAAAAAAAAAATATTACTCCCCTCCTACCTGTAGATGTAGATTGCCTTGACCGAACCACATAAATACTATGTCTTTGTGTTCTTTTGGTTTTGCTTGTTATCTACATTATTTTCTAACAAGGGTCATAAAACTTGGCAAGTGACAATAGATATATTCTGAGCCTTGACAAGCATCGTCTGGTTTTCCTAACATCTTTAAAATTGGATTTTAGAACGTTAAGATATCTCAAACTTTGTCGAAGAAAAGGTGGTTATATTCATTGGGTCTTACTACATATGTTGCCGTTGAACGGGGGATGTATACAAATTCTAAAAGATTTGGGAGTGGAATTTCCTTTATTTTAGGGAATTCCTTAATTTCGTGGAAAAACACTAAACAGACAAAAGTTTCGATATCATCAATAAATTCTTAATATAAAGATCTTGCATCAAATGCATGCAAAATTCTATAGGTCTTTAGGGAATTCTTTGAATTTCATGAAAAAACACAAAACAGACAAAAGTTTCGATGTCATCAACAAATTGTTAATATAAAGGTCTTGCATCAAATACATGCAAAATTCTATAGGCCTTGAAACTTTTATTTGTTATAGGAATTGATAGTTCGAGATATATTAATATTCAGTAAGTCAACCATTTTTCTTGAAGTGATATCAAAATTGTTAAAACTGATTCATCATCTTAAACAACATATATTTTTATATAACTTCATTTTGTCATGAATTCTTTCGGAAAAACTAAATTTAGTTAATCCCTTCCATTGTTAATATTGAGGGAGGATGTTAAGAAAGGTAAATGTATCATATCAATCTTAATACCTGATGAGGACTTATTGTATTAAGATTGTTTGACTTGGTATGTTTGGTGCAGTTGACCAATGTTAAGGAGCTTGTTTTAAGGAATAAAAGCTTAAGGGCTGATTGGATAAATCGAAGAAGTTGGAGGGTTGAGTTGTTGATTGAAGGAGTGCAAGTGTTCATGATGGACACGTGGAAAGAAGAAAATTACAAATACCATAATTTACAAAGTCAAAATAAGTGAAACTTTCAATTAGGATACATACAAAACAATCAATACCATATAAAATATGAACCAATAATCAAATAAAATATCTTTTTATTGTTATCAAACTATTTCAACTTCAAAATTGAAAACCTCGTTTGATCATTTATCATTACCATAATTTTGTTCCTTCCATGATACTAGCGATTTAAGGAAGTCTTTGACTTCCAAAGTGTCACGAAGTGACAAAAAAGCTTTGCTTTCTTTGGGTACCGAAGATACCAAAATCCCGTAACCACGTTTTCCTTCTCTTAAAACCTAACAAAAAAAAACTTAATCAACAACTTAATAACACACTATTAAAATAATAATAATTAAATAAAATTGATCATACCTTAAATGCATCTTCATCTGTTCTATCGTCTCCAATATAAATTGCAAGCACTTCGTCACTATTGCTTAGCCCTATTAATTCCATAATAAAATACAAAAGAAATAATAATAACAAATAAATATCATCTTACTTCACATTTCTTAATTTATTTCATAAAAAGTAGCGTATTTTTATGGGTTGTTTTATAAAAAACGAATTGAAGGACATACCAAGTGATTGAAGTAGAAACTCGACTGCTTTCCCTTTGTCCCAATCAATAATGGGACGGACCTCTAAAACCTACGTATAATTTATAAATAAAGTTTTTATATTTTATAAATGCATAAAGTAAAAATAATCACATAACCATTATTGAAATTTGAAAATGTGTTATATTTATATAAAAAAATTGGTTTTATTACTTACCTTCCGACCATGAGTTAATCTCAAACGAGGATAATCTTTCAAGACATCATGCACACGTTGTGCAATCATCGCCCAACTCTGCAACACCATAAAAAGTATTATCTTTCAATTCTGTCGCTAACTTTTATGAAATAACAAGTGTTTTATAAAAAACCTGTGGTTAATTTTATAAAATTCCGTCGCTAAATTTGAGAAAAAAAAAAGCAAACGATTTCAGTTCTTTTGGTAATTGTTTTATAAAGAATTGGTGGTTGATTTTATAAAAAAAATTGGAGGGATTTCAATTCATACACTAGAAATGTCGTTAATTTTGAATAAATTTCCAATGGATTCCAATTCGGTTGCTAATTTCGAAAAATAGCGACGGATTTTAATTCCATTGCTAATTATTCTAAAAAATCCGTTGCTAAATCCACTCATTTGTTAAAACTTAAAAGTAAAATGTTAATTTCTTACCATCTCATCTACATTACGGTAATGTACAGAAGTACAAAATTTGTGATTTTCCACAAATGCCCCTCGGATATCCTTTGTCACGTTAACAAGGGTCCTAAAAACCTCATTGATCATTGGTATAAACTCTCTAGCAGGCTGGAATAAATTTACTTCCTTGTCCTTCACAAGAAAACATAAGGATATTGATCTCCTCAAGGGCAATTAAAATAAAAAATCCTAAGGGTATTTTTGTCAATACAATACCTGTTTGTCAGTAGATCGAATATAGTTTGTATGGTTGATAGACATTGGGAACATGATGTCCATACCATGACTACCAGCATAAAAGAGTTCTGTTAGTCCTACTAACTCATAAACCTGAACAAAAAATGTTTTAACATTAAAAAATTTAATTATTTTAATGACAATTTATTATGTTAAACTTTTTTTTTTCAGTGAAATGAACAATTCCATTATACCGAACACTACTATAGACTTGTGATACCTTATTGCGGCTTCTTCCACTAATAATCGCTGTTGGAAAGTACTTTGCAATGCTCTTTAAAGCAGCACGCATCTAAAAGAAGAAAGTGTGTAAGACATTTGTGCTAGGTATATGAAAGAAAAGAATTGGAGAATTTGAAGTTACAACTTACATCGATTGACATAAAAGCACGATTGGGATCATCTACAATTGGGGAGAGTGTCCCATCATAATCTAAGAAGACTACTATCTTTTTGTTATTTGCACGATTTATAATATGATCAAAAGATTTGAGGGCCGATGGATACTTGAGCTTTGAGTAACAAAAAAAAGAAAGATAGCCAATTAATAATAGGTACATATGCAAATACCGTTACTAATATCAAATATACTTTTTTCTTTACTGCAAACAAACCATCATTAATGAAATGAGAAGGGTAATGTAATAAGCTAAGATATAAAATGAATCGTTACATACTTACATTCGGTGATCATGTTTGTTTGACTTATAGAAATATTATAAATTTTGTAAGAGAAATCAAATATTCTCTTACATTTTCTTCATTTTTATAATCCTACTAATCAGATCAAAACAAGTGTCAAACTCAAGAGATGAGATTAAAAGAGAGAATCATTGGTATCTATATGTCATAAACTTATATAAATAGAAAGAAAATATAAGAGGATATTCAAATTTTCATTTTGTAAATACATTGATTAATTTTAACTATATTCTACACATTATCTTAATTATAATTGATGAAATTTTATTTACAAAAATAAAAGTTTAACATAATAAAACTTCATTAAACCCAAACTAAGTTATAATAATTATAATATTTTTTAGTTTTCTAAAAAATAAACCTATAGTTTAATTAAAATAATGAAAATTTCCAAAGAATATTTTCATCAAAAAAATTCATATAAATAAAATAATATATGTTAGGAAATTTTCATTCCATTCTAAGATGAAAAAGAAAACGAACTTCTCAATAACGTATGAAAAATATCACAATCGAACCATTCACGAATGATTCATTTCATTCCACCAGGCAAAACAAACAGTTGGAATGAACCATTCGGTTCCACTAATATTTTCTTTCTTTTAAGTTCTTCAAAATCAAAATCAATCATATTCTTGTAAATTAGTATAGTGCTTTTTGGCATTTCGACAACAACATAATAATGACAAGTTTTCTAACCAAATATTTCATGCATACCTTCCAAGAATAATAAATAAGATCATTCTCATCGGAAGCAAGCTCATCTTCAACATCTTTCACCATCCTTTTACAAGGAGGTGAAGACGATCGCATGGCCTCAAGCCAACCGTTGGATCGAACATCATCAACTAATTTCCCAGGCTTCTTCTTTGGAATTAAAAGCGGGAAAACACTGGAATGGAATCCTAATCTACTCTGATTCATAGGGAGTAGAGGATCAGCAAGAACAGGAGAAGCATTTGCTGAGCTTAAATCCATTTTATGATCACAAGACAATTTTCGAGATTTATGCTAACAAAGTTCGAGGGTTTGATATGAAAAACTGTGAAATGAAATCTCTCTCTTTTTACCCGACCCTTTTGTCAATAAAAAACCACCTTTTTAATGTTTTCTTGTCACTGGTGCTGAGTGAGTAGTCCATTGTAAACACGCTAGTTTCTGAAATGATCTGAAATACAACATTCATGGAGTTATAATGATGACTAAATCTTCCTGCTTAATTTCATAAAATACGATTACCAAAAATGACATACCTCATTCTCAAAGCTATGCATTTACAGAATGTGCTCAAACACCATATTCAAGATCTCGAGTTTTGACTGCATATTACTAAAAAAGGAAAAAAAAAATGTTGTTTAGATGATTACTCACCACTTTACGAAATAGATGCAAATCTTTTTTACCTCAAGGAAGTGTTAAGAACTAAGCACAAAGTCAAGGATTCCAAAAAACATGCATCAGAAGAAACAAGAGTTTAACTGTTTCTATAATAAACCACTCGATGGTTATCTGATACAATGTCTTCACACTAGTCACATGGACATGCATGCTCCCCATAAAGTAAGTAAAGGTGTAGTTTCTTTCATGGATATACTGTTTTACTATATAATAAAACAATGGTAGGGGTAGGGGTCACTTACAATTTTTTCTTTATATTACTTTGCATAATGTAAGTAGTATATAAGTTGAAAGTAATATATATATACTTATTTAATTGGTCACAGAAGCTCTATAATTCATAAAGCAAACACTTTTAAGAAACACATTTAAAAAATATCCAATAATGACTCATCTACACTGTGTTCTTATGCTTCGTGATGTGACTTCTCAACAAAAACAAACCCCACCATTGCTCAGATGCACTGAGAGAGATATGAAACGTCAATAAAAGTGATACAATTTTGTCTTTCTGCAAATATCCCATTTGCAAAATTTCCTTATTTTGCAATGTTTCAATCCAAATATAAGTGTTTTTTTAATTTATATCCTTTTTAAAAAAAAAAATTATGGTTTGAGAGTGTACATGTTGCAAATATTTGAGTAAGAATGAAACACCACTTGAATTTGTTTTTAGACAAATTGGAATACTTTATTTGCATAATCAGTTAAACGATTACATCGTATAGAGCATAAAATAATAATAATGGAATAAAAGACAGCTGTACCTTAACTAACTCAAAATAAAATAAAATAAAATAAAACTTAAGAAAACACATGTGGGTCATATTCAATTTGCATAAACCATTTGAGTAACAACTAACAAACAACCAAAGTACGCGAATACAGATTTCTTGTCCCTAAATAAGACAAAATGCAACTGGTGGAAACAATGAACATATATGGAAATTTTATTCATGCATCAAGAAACTCATTCATATTCCTTCATTTTTATTTTCCAAATTGGGTTATAATGCAAGAGAATACGAACTCTGCATGTATGGAAAGGATTCTTTAGAACATTGATCTCTTCGATTTCAATGTGTTAGCAACACACAACAACGCCGAACTTTTTACAATACAATAAGATGAGAGCATATAAATAAGATTATTCTGTCAAAAGCAAGTACAAGCATACAGAAGGCTGTACGATCTATGAATCAGATCTTCATCTAATTTCTATACATTAACTAATATCAACAAAGACAAACACATAAATATGAAGAATCTTACAAATGCGCATCATATGCCATACAAAATAATGGGAATTGAGGGGCAGCTACCATACCTGATTGGGAGGGAGGTAGCCGGTTGAAGAGCAATGAATTAGAGTAGGAAATGAATTGAGAATGAACGAAATGAAGCCCTAGAAATAGTGAGAGAGAGGGAGAAGAGAAGAGAGATAGAGAGATTGGTGAAGAGTGGTGATGGTATTTATAGAGATTGATTGGTGCAAAATAGACGTGCCAATGAAGCAAAAGTAACACTCTATTGCTTCAAATTACCTAAATTATCCTTTTTTTTGTTTGGGGTAAATTTCAATTTTCTAGACATTGTTTTAAAAGTGCATTCTATGTGGATAATTAGGTGTTGTTTGTTTTTTTGAAAAACCAAAATGTCTGTAGTTTACGGACCACATCTGCAAGCTTCTGCGACAGAAGAGGTGGACCAAATGTCTGCATTCTTCAATAAGAAAACTGTTTGTTTTTAACATTGTTGCTGTTGAAATAAACTGAATTTTCAAACTTAATTTAATTTCATAAACATTAAAAATGTATTTTCAGCAAAAAAAGAACGAAAAAAAACCGGTGGCCTACATTTTATTTATTTATTTATTTATTTATTTATTTATTTAAGTTAAAATTAGTTTTGAAGACCTTTGAAGACAATGACCCATGTCTACGCCAGGAAGACTTCGCGTAAACGTTTTTTGATCTGCGCACTTCCAAAAAACAAACTCTGCGAGGGCATATGTCTGCGCGTTGTCTACGCGGCGCAAACAAAAGTGGTTGCATAGATCTTTAAAAAAAACAAACAACCTCTTAGTCATAACACCATTTTGGTGCCACGTCAGCAATGGTACTATAACACCAAATGAAGAAATGATCACCATATTACACCTTGTTATAACAAAAACATTTTTCCACTTTATAATTTTTTTAATTTTTTTTTGATTTTTTTTTAAATTTAAACAAATATATTTTAAATATAACATAATAAATAATACATAGTGTTTAAAAATTATAAATAACATATAAATTAAATTAAACATAAAATCAAAATTCAAAAAAAAAAAAAATACAACACTATTCGTTAAAAAAAAATAATATTTTTTTAAAAACCAAAACGCTATTCATTATCGTTATCATGGGAGATATAATCCGCCAAGTCCTCTCAAAATTGTCTGTGTTTATTTGCATTATGAATGTCAACGATTCTATGCAAATACCCTGTTGTTCCTGGTTGAAATTAAACGTGTCTGGGCTCCGTTGGGATATAGTGAGAAATATTTCGTATTTTATCTATTACTACTATGTTATGCATTATGATACATGCATACATGATATATCATAGAGCATTTAAATCCAATGGCCGTGCTACATGCTCAACTATATGCCACTTCGCCTTCAACACTCCAAAAGTACGTTCCACATCCTCATGTGTTCCTTCTTGTCTTCACTTAAATAAATTGTCTCTTTCTTCAACCGAGTGTCGGAATGCCTTCCCGAATGTGGATACTGAGGATATATTCCATCTGTAAGGTAATACTTATATTTGTATTCGTTTCCATTCACCGTGAAAGGAGCATCCGAGGTTTTTCCATTCAAAAGATCGTCGAATATTAGCATCTGATCAAGAATGTTGACGTCATTGTTGGAACCCACAACCCCCAAAAATGCATGTCAAATCCATAAATCTTGAAAAACAACAACCTCTAAAACCAAAGAAGGCGATCCGTGATAACCACTTGCGTATTGCCCTTTCCATGCTACCGGATAATTTTTCCATTTCCAGTGTGTGCAATCAATGCTTCCGATCATTCCGGGAAACCCATGGCGTTCTTCATGTGCCGCATATAATTCTTGTAAATAATGCAATGAAGGTTTCCACAAATACACGTCTTCAAATGTTGCAACGACACCCCTTGACAATGTATACAAACTCTCCCTTGCGGTTCATTCGTACATTCTCATATAGTCGTCCACGGTGTCGGATGACTCCCCCATAGCCATCAAACGAATGGCCGCAACACATTTTTGCAATGTTGTAAACCCTCGTCTACATCTAGCATCATATCTCAATTGAAAAAAAATTCATACCTAAACATAAATTAATTACAGTTTAAAAATATAGTACATTTGTTATAAAATTAAAGAAACCTGTAGTACATTTGTATTTATTGTGTCTAAAAGTATAGTAAAGAAGCGATATCGGCTTTCCAAGACGTTGGCGATCCGTAGGAACACATTTCTACTCAAACAAAATATTCTTTTGAAGTCCTTCGACCCGTATACACAATTTTTCGCAAAGTAATCGCGATATAGATGTTCGTGTCCTTCCTCGCGATTTCTGTTTAACATCGCACGTGTTGTTAGTAGCGGGGTTGGGTCTGGTTGTAGCAGGTTGGTAGTGTAATAATGATACATCATCCTGAAAAAAACATCGTCATGGGAATCATCGGACGAGTCGAAAGGGTCCTTATTTTTTTTTGAAGATAATTGAAATTATGTAGAGAAAAGGAGAGAAATTGTGTGAAATTTTCTATAAACGTTAGATATTTATAGGATAAATGAATTTTTTTATTAATAGTTATTTTGAAAAAAAAAAAAAAATACCTGTTGGCAACGGTTAGTTAATGGGAAAAGTTTGAAATTTGCTCGTTTCTTACGGTTGTGACGCCAACGAGATACACTCTTAATGGGCAAAAATGAGAGGGGGCGGGGGGGGGGGGGGGGGGTGTTCCCCCCGTTACCATACCGTTATGGCGTTCCACGTCACCATAACGAGCACGAGATGTGCCTACACCGTCTTGTCTTATTTTGTTTCGATTTTTGATCCTGAATCAAATTGAAATATTTTTTTTTTCTAGTGTGCATTTTACATTATTTTTATTTTTTATTTATATTTTTATAAAAACTAGAGATTGTATAGCCCCCGCTCCGTCGGAGGTAGAGGTGAGCAAAAACTGTACCGCAACTAAAATTAACCATAAAAACTGCATAAATTGCAAGCGATAAACCACAACTGCAATAAAAACTGATAGTGAGGTTTCAGTTTTTTAAAAACCGCAAATTTATGGTGCGGTGCGGTTATTAGTTTTCAAAAACCACAAAAAAACCGCACCACATTATATATATTATATACAATTTTTATTAATTATTAATATATTAAATATTAAAAATAAAACAAATTTCATGGATGAAAAAACGATATAATTCTAGAGGACAAAAATATTGGTTTTTTGTTATGCTTAAATTTGGAAAATGGTGAAATTTCACAATTTTAAGATATTTATAGTTAATTGCTAGTGATTTCATGTTTTTAAGAGATTAGTTGTTTGTGGTTTAACATATTACAACTAATATGTTTGAACTCTAAACTGCAGTTAAAAATCATAAAAAAAAACCTCATCAAATCCATACAGTTAATAACCGGAAAAAAAAAACCGCACTGCAAAAATAACTGTCTAACCACACCAAACGGTTTTGAAAATGAATTAACCATGTTTTCGGTAAGTGGTGAGGTTTTGAACAATAACTCACTTAAACGCACCACGTTCACCACTAGCCGGGAGTGCAAACAATGGTTGTTTGGTATGTTTTTGTTATTCTTTTGAAGCTTCATGATTCTACATACGGTGAAATGGGGATGAAGAAAAGAAAATGATAGAAGAGGTCCAATAAAGAAGGGAAAGTATGTATAGGGCTGCACTTAAAAGAAAAAATGTATAAAAAAAAAAAAAGAGACGACATAGTTAGTAAAATGTGGTGACAAAATCGTGAACTTCATAAATAATACTCTTGTTAAGAACTTTTAGTTTTATATATATATATATATATATATATATATATATATATATATATATATATATATATATATATATATATATATATATATATATATATATATATATATATATATATATATATATTAAACTTCATTCTAATTTTGTGAGACCGTTAGATCAAATCTAAAAATAATTTTAAAATGCAAAATAAATGAAAAATCCAAAAATTCTTTTTTTAAATATTATTTTGGAACTTGAATTAACTAAAAAAAA